GCTGAAGTAGGAGTCTTCACTCCAGTGTATGTGATGTAGATGTCCTGCAGTGTTCTGTGGCACAACCTCTGTTTGACTCACTGGTGTGTCTGTGCATGTTTGTCAGGGCACTAAAGTTAGGAACGATTTCAGTGTAGTGGACAAAAGGCACACACCTCAGCAAGAGTCCTTAACTTCTTATGTTGCCAGTCTGTGCTGTAGAATAGGGATCCTTGTTGCTCTTGGGCCTCCCTGGCCTTATGCCTCGGCTTCTCCTGCACAATTAGGCCTTTCTCCTCAGGGTGTGCCTGGTTGACCCTGCATCCTCCCAGGAGGAGCTCCCTGTGGTGGTGCCCAGCCTCCTAGGACCATCCCGAAGGACCCCAACTTCTGTGGTGGCTGCACATAGGGTGTTTGCTGAGTGGGGGTTGACTCCTTGTGCAGCACATACCTGGTGACCAGGTAGTAGGAGTGTCTCTGTTTGTTAAACCCATTTCTCCTCCTGACCTGTGTACACCATCTCTTGAGAGAGCACCCCATCTTCCAGCAACCCCACTGTCTCTCATTCCCTTGGTTTATATCTGAGCCAAGCAGGCCACCTCTGGGTCTGTATCTGCGCCCTCCACCCTCGTCCTGGCCCACACACTCCTGCCTCAACCCACAGCATCCCAGCTGGCTGCTTGTCCACTTTGCCGCTCTGCTGTAGGCATGTCACCGAGTTGGAACACACTCTCCCTCTTTTGGGAATGTACGAAAGTCCCAACCACACTCCCGTCAACACCACTCCATCCGCAGCCCTCACATCACCATGTGGCTTTCCCACTGTCGACCTCCACCTCTTCAGCAAGTCAGCTCCGCCCTCACGATGCCCCTGCCCATTTCTCGTAGCACTGGACAGTCTGTGATTGTTTCCTTAAAAGACACACTCCCCTCTGAAGAGCTTAAAGCCTGAGAGTATCTATACATAGCCCCTTCATTTCCTATACCCACTGAGGCAGAGGAGGTTCATGTTGAAGCCCTGGGATCCCAAGCAGCTGAGTCTTGGCAGAACTGAGCTTATGTATCTGCAGCTCCAACCATGATGGGAGCTCCCTGGAAGAAGGCACCTGGGAACAAGTGGGTGACCTGGCCTATTTGGGGCATGGAAGGTTTGAATCCATGAATGTTCTCAGTCACTGATAGACTCTGCACTATGTCCAGGACATGAGGATAGGAGAATCATACCCATCCACTCTGTCTAGGAGGAAGGGAGGACAGGGGATCCAGAACAAACACAGGGTTGAGCTAGACCAGTTGGGAGAAATTTCCAGCCTCTTATTTGCTGGTGATTTGAAGCCGCATCATGTGTTTCAGAGAAGCTGCCCTATACTGGCTTGGAAGACTTTGCTTTCTGTTATCTCAAGACCTCCCATCAGAATGGGGCCCTGTGGGAGGGAACGGCACACTAGAACATGCACTCACCAGGCTCATGTGCATACCCACACAGCTGTGCTCTGTGTGTCAGCAGTCAGCCACCCCTCTCTACCAGGCCCAGGTCCAGGCCCCACCCACTCCACTTACCTGCCCACTCTTCCTGCTCCCACAGGGTCCATTTCCTCCTGTGATGCCTTCCTCAACGTCTTCCAGTCCCGAGGCCTGAGGCCAGAAGTCATCTGTCCTTGTGCCAGTTCTCCTGAGGCACTGACAGTCGCCATACGCAGGTAACATCTTCGGCTGCTACTTACAACTGAGTTACCTGTGGCACCGAGTTTGTTTACTCTTGTTTCCAATTAGTAGGGATCCTGAAGCAGTGCCTGTTGCTGTGTGGCTTCCAGCCCTACAGTCCTCACCAGCCTGAACTTGCACTCACTGGGAGCTGGGTTCTGCGGTGCTGGCCTTTACTTCCTAAGCGCTTCTCCCTAGATCAGAAAGCTCATCCTCTCGGTCTCAGTCAGTATTGTATCCCCATGTCGTACCACAGCTATGGAGGTTGTCAGGGGGTGATTGACCTGTTTGGAAAAGTCAACTGATGCTTAGTGCCAGCTGTCCTCGTGGCTGTTTTCTTTGTGTCATCTCTTTCAACTTAGAAGGCAATGCTGGAGGCCTCCAGACTATCCTGTACTGTCTTTGTGCCTGGGTGCTGGTCTTGGTGCTCATCCTATATCTCTCCTACACACCACACTACCCCTCAGCCACAGCTAGGAACTCTGGGCTCACGTCCCCACCTTGGGGGGGGCCGGGCAGGGGGACTCTGTGTGCACCATCTCCAGGCCCCTCCCTGGTATCTGAATGGGTCAGCCTGGATTTCCTCACACCATTGTGGCTTTAGCATCATCATTATGCTTAGTTGTCTGCCTGGGGCTCAGGCAAGTGTTCCAAGACCACCAGGTAGAAGCTAAGTTTCCTCTTGGGACCTGTTTGGAAGTTTCTTGGCATCACTTCCACTGTAGTTGAGGCCTGCTTCCCAGTGGGAGGTGTTGAAGTCACACTGCAGAGGGGCACTTCATTTGGAGACCTCGTTTCTGCATCTTGGGCACATCTAGTTCTCACAGGACTGTAATGTAGAACAGTGGTTTGGGTGTGGAATCATGCTGCAGTCATGCTGATGGTGGGCCATCAGTCCCATCTCTCCAGGAGCTTTCCTCATCAATAGCCTTGTGGTGGTTTTGTTTTCTAGGCCACCTGATCTAGGGGGACCTCCTCCAAGAAAAGCTGTCCTGTCCATGAATGGTCTAAGTTACGGTGTGATCAGAGTTGATACCGAAGAAAAGCTGTCAGTCCTTACTGTTCAGGATGTCGGTCAGGTGATGCCTGGAGGTAAGAAACTGGTCAGAGTGTGTCTACATCCTGCAACTACTCAACAACAAAAGATCATGATGGCTCCAGGCTTTGGAGTAGTGCTCTAGAAACAAATATACAAATAGAAGATTTAAAAAATTTGTTGTAGAGTGCATGTCTCTCACATAGAGAAAGAGAGAAAGTGAGAAAGCATTTCCTAGGGGAATGGCTATATCCCAGTCTCTTCTCCATTCTCCTCTCAGTAGTTTGGACATACATGCACATGTACCTGGTGTGTTTTTTAAGCTGCTGGGTCCAGGACTCAAACCATGCAGTCGGCCATATGGGATCCAGCTACCTTAACCACCACACCATCAACTGGCCCAGTAAATGGTTTCTGAAAAATATTTTTCAATGCATATTGGGGTTTAAATTTGTAAAATGTTTTTAACTTTCCCCCCTCCCTTGCATTGCTTAAAGATGAGCTAAAATATAAGGGTGTATGTAAGGCCTATTGAGCTGACTTCCAGTTCTCCAATGTTTGGAGAGATGGTGATAACAGCTCTCACATGTTGGGCAGTTTTTATCTTTACACATGTTGAAGCATTTAACCCCACAACAGTCCTTTGCTGTGGGCACTCAGGAAGATGGTGATGCTTGTGCAGACCTTGATAATCTGATTATCTATGAAGGCTGTGGCAAGTACATGTGGTAGGAGCCTGATGTGAATGAAAGCTTCCCAGAAATTCCAGAGGGTTTCTGAAGGGCCTGTGGGAGACTTCCTGCAGTCAGCCCAGGGCTGGAACCTCATGTGGGTGTGGCAGTGAGGAGTGCGATGCTGTCTCCCTGCAGACTTGTGCTGAGGGGAGTTAAGGGCAGAGCCTAGCCCAGTATGCCCCAGTGCCAGTCAGGTGGAGGGTGCTGTTCTTGCTGAGGCCACCCCTCTCTGTAGCTGCCTGATAGCTTCCCCTTCCCCAATAGTGTGATAGCCCTTCTGGGGTTCAGAGGCAGCTGCTTTGACCCCTCTTGCTAACTTCCAAGACCTAGTGATGAGACAAGGCCCTAGGACTCCATCTAGACCCATTCCCGCCATAGCCTACTCTACCAAGCTGCCCAGCATCCTGGCTGTTCTGCTACAGCTCTGCCTCCCACAAGCCGTGGAAAACTGGGTGATGAGTAGGAGATTCTAGAGACACCCCCCCACAGGCACGTGTGTGTGCAGGGCCCTTCCTAGGGACATATATGTGCAGGGCACTCCCCCAGGTGTGTGGTGTGTGCAGAGCCCTCTCCTAGGTGTGTGTGCGTAGTGCTCCCCTAGTGGTCCTGTCTGTCTTGGCAGCTCTCCATAGCCCAAGCTGTACTCCTTGTTGAGGGGAAACCAACAGGGTGGATATATCCATCGTACTGTCTGTAGCCATTGTTCCTCCCCCACAGTGCTACTGTTTATGTTTGTGTCATGAAGGGGATTTGTGGTGATTTGTTCTTGTCATGACTTTACATCTGGTTCTGTTGCTGACATTGTCTGGGTGATGGAACACAGGTGAGCACCACCTGTCTCAGCCGAGAAGACTCTCCACAAAGTTCTTTGTCTGATATGTGAAAAACGGAGACAAGTCACTGATTGTCCCTTCTTCTCTTCTTTCTTACTGTCTTTGGAGATGACACTATATCAAAAAAAAAAAAAAAACAACTCAAGTAGAGGTGCAGCAAGAACATTTTCTCACTGACCCATGGATTAACTGATCACGTAACTGAGTTTCATAATGAACAGCTGCATGTTTGTGTGTGTCTTTCATGCTTTTGTGTGAGACTGTTTCTGGAAGCCACTCTGTGTCAGTCTTGGACTAGCTTGATAAGACAGGCGAGGTCCTCAAAACCAAGGCCCGGGAAAAAGGTGGAGTGACCCTTGTGTGGAAACAGATGTGGCGAGTGGCTGAGGGGGGCCACAGCGTGGCTCAAGCACTGGAAAGGGCCAGGCACAGGTCAGTCAGGCTCTGGAGGTGATGAGAGAAGAGGGATTTGGTTATCTGAGAGGACATGCCCTGTTAGCGTGGCCTTGCTGCCTGAAGCATGTGCGGTGATAAGAAGCATACGTAAGATGTGAAGACTCTGGCTAGGGAGGGTATATGTCATCCGATCCGCATCACAAGAACATGCTGTGCCTTTGACGTCTCTTTTCCATGACTGCCGTCAGCAACAAGTGGACCTTTGTGAGTGATTCATTTCAATGCTTGCTTCCTTTGTGATTTTGAGGGTTTTTTTTTCCTTTCTTATAGCTAATGTATGTGTCGTGAAGATAGAAGGTATTCCTTACCTTTGTAAAACTGATGAAGTTGGAGAAATATGTGTGAATTCCAGTGCAACCGGCACAGCGTACTATGGTCTGCTGGGAATCACGAAGAACATATTCGAGGTCTGTGCCTTTCCCGGCCCTGTGTTGAAATGAAGTCCTGTGAGCTTGCCGGGCGCAGGCATGTAGCCATGGCAGAGCTACCTGTCCTCAGAGACAGGCCTCCCTCCCCCACTGCTGTGCCATCCCGTGGCCTTGCCACCTGGCCCTAGGGTGAGGGTCAGTGACTTTTTCATTCCTTTGTTCAGTGGGGACCATGCAGTTTGAGAGGCACTAGAGGTGGTCCCAGGGAAGCAGATCACTGCTATGCTAATATGGCAGGTGGGGCCAGACCTCAAGAACACAGAGATGAAAGGAACGTCTCCTGCCTGCGAAAGTTTAGCCATAGATGGGGCTGCTGAGCCAAAGGAAATGGGCCTTCAAGGGCTTAGCTGGGCTGTGGGGCCAGAGATTCCAGTCCTTGTCAGTGTTTTCCTTCCACAGACACCAAACCTCAGTTATGGGCGGTGGGCTGCACTGTCTGCCCGTTGAATCTTTTCAGCCAGTTGGTTGTCCATGCCTGATCATCCCCTCTGCTCTATGTAGACTGTCCCAGTCACTGAAGGAGGAACACCTGTCTCTGAAAGACCTTTCACCAGGACGGGCCTGCTGGGCTTCATTGGGCCTGTGAGTATGTTCTCTTGCACCAGGACCAGCAGTGGGGAGGCTGGGCATGGTTAAGGGGCTCCACGTCACAGACAGGCTTCTGCATGGCCTTGGTCAGTCCTGCTGACTTCTCCCACCCACTGTTGTTCACACCTCTGTGAAACTAGCTTGGATATACACACATGTACGCACACACCCACACATACACGTACACGCACATATATACATACACATACACACAGGGTGGGTGTGCCTGGGGTGAATTTGGAGTGCCCGGGGGTGAATGAAGATGCTTTTATTCGTGCGGGGTGGCAGGTATGTGGGCATTCATTTTATCATTTTTAACCATCTTGGATGATATATTTGTAACGTGTTGGTCAGTGATTTTTCTACTCAGTGATACTGCTCCCTCCCTCCCCAGGAGTATTTAGCAACTCGGGAGGGGAGTGCTGCTGGTATCTATGACCCCCTGAGCCCTTCTCATACTGATACCCATCCCAGTTGCCCCAGACCCTGCATCCTGCAGGGCTGTCCCTACCCTACATTTGCTTGTCCTGGGTGTGTGTTGCTCATAAGGTGCTGACCTCACGTCTGTGAGGTCCTTGGTCTTCATGTGCTGGTGGGTCCTAACTGCTACCACCCTGTGCAGCCAGTGCCTGCCTGTGCAGGCTGGTCCCAGCCTACTCCTCTGCCTGCAGGATGACCTGGTCTTCATCGTGGGCAAGCTGGACGGGCTGATGGTCGTTGGAGTTCGCAGACATAATGCGGATGATGTTGTAGCCACTGCGCTGGCTGTGGAGCCCATGAAGTTTGTCTACAGAGGCAGGTGATGCGCTGTGAACCCCTGGGCTGTGGATCTTAGATACCTCCTCTAGTGAGAGTTTGGGAAATCTGTCTGCAGGAACAGAAAATTCAGTAAATTCAAATTGCCAAAACCTAAAGATTTGTATACATTAGAGAAACTCAAAAAGAAAGAGAAAGATACAGCACTGATGCTGGAGTTAATGTTCTCACCATCCAAAGGGCCCATTCATTTCTGTAAGAAAGTAAGGTCCAAGTATATAACTGGCGACAGGGACATGGGAAAGATCAACCCCAGAGGGGAAATGTGAGTAATAACAAAGGAGAATGGATCCAACCTCCCAGTAACCTTAAAGGTGTAGATTTTATTTCTACAAAGATTTGGCAAGATATGCACAGCATCTTAGTTGCTCCTGGGATAAAAACCTGTTCAATATGTTGCACATATTAAGCCAGGACCTTTGAGGTCCTCATTTGCGTTGAATCAGTAAATGGACCTCGGGCTGCAGTAGGCAGAGGGGCCTGAGGAGCTGGAGAGGCATTTGGCCATAGAGCTCTACTCAGCCAGTGCCTTTCAAATTCTATTCTTAAATAGGTGTCTTTTGTTACTCAAACTAGGGGACCTATAGGCCAGCCCAGGCTCCTGTCTGTGGATGTACTTAGGAAGTCCTTCGTGATGGGTTGTCATGGACTATGGCCCTTTCCCCAGATAAGTCCTGAGGAAACTCCAGAGGATGGGCTGCAGGGAAGGAGGGATACCCCATCAGGCAGGCCAGCAGAGCAGGCTGTATGAGTGCATATACAGGAGGTGTGCTAGGGGTGTGCTGGGCATCTCTGCTGCTGACCAGCCCCTCACAGCAGAAGCTGGGGACACTGTTGGTGCAGACATCTAAGATAATCCCAAGGTGGCACACACCCTGCTTCTGGAGTGCTTTAGGGGAGCTGCCTCCTTCCATGGCCTCCTGTACCTGGTGGTGCCTGGAGTTGAAGCCCCTCCCCTGAAAAGGCGCCTGATGAAGTGGCGCCAGCCTGAATGTTTAGCAGGGATGTGGGATGATTGCAGCTTGGGCAGGGTGAACTGCCTATCCTACCAGGAAGGAGCTGTGGAAGACAGTAACTTGGAAACAAAGCCACAACTGGTCAGTAGGGATGCCACTCTTAGAAGAGCAACTCAGAATAGTAGCAACAAGATAAAGAAATCTAACAAAGGAGCTGTTAAAACCAAGAATACAATAAATGAGATAAATAGAATACATACAGCTAAAGAATAAATTAATAAGGCAAAAAGTCAGATTAAGGAACTACTCTAGAAATAAAGAAATAGAAATAAAGGCAGAGGGACCAGCAGATGGCATAATGGGTACATTGCTGGACTCCCACATAGTCAACTGCAGTTTGAGTATTGGCCCGTGCATATGTGCTTGCATGCCCAAAATCCTGAGGGAGGAATGGAGGAGAAAGGATTGTCGTGTGGCCATCCCCCCTGGGGTATGATTTCTCACTGTTTCTGTCTCTGTCTTTCCAGCAAGCACACCTGCTCTGTAGCAAAAAATCTCTCTTAAAAGAGGCAAGGGGACCAACAGTTGGTGTAATAGCTATGTCGCTGGACTCCCATGTAATCAACTACAGTTCGAGTCCTGGACCCCGTGGCTTAAACTCATGCCAGGCCCCTGTGCATGCGTGCCCAAGATTCTGAGAGGAGAATGGAGGAGAAGGGATTGCGGTGTGGCCATCCCCCTAGGGGG